ATAAGAATAGAGGTTGTGAAAGTATGTATATTGAGTAAGTACTATACTGTGCTAGTTTTTAAAAGTGATGTAGATTATTAAATTAGCGTGATAACAACATATGATCTAAGTTTTGAAGCGCATGATAAGTATTTTGACTGTTTTTTTTTAAAATATTTGAGAGAATAGCACTGAAACATGTATATTATCATATGTGAAACAGATCACCAGCCCAGGTTGGATGCATGAGACAAGTGCTTGGGGCTGGTGCACTGGGATGACCCAGAGGGATGGGATGGGGAGGGAGGTGGGAGGGGGATTCAGCATGGGAACACATGTAAATCCATGGCTGATTCATATCGAGGTATGGCAAAAACCACTACAATATTGTAAAGTAATTAGCCTCCAACTAATATAAGTAAATTAAAAAAAATTAAAAAGGGAAAAAATACTTTGTATTTAATACACACATATGTATTTATATACATATAAATATGGAGAGATTTGTATTGTGTTAATATTGGTTGTCTATGGTGATGGGTAAATTATAGATTTTTTTTTGTTTGGTTATGTTTATTTTCTGACAATCTATACTTTGCAAAATATTTAGAAGATAAGTATCACAACTAATACCTTTCCCTTAGTTATAGATTTTAACTACTTGGTTTCTATACAAGGTGATCAAATTAGGCATTTTAATTAAATGACTTTATTTTACTTATTGAATGACCTAAGGAAGTAACCACAGTAAGTGTTTGTCAATTACAGTATACCTTGTGCTAAACATTGCCTACTGGTAAATAAACTGTTATTTTTACATCACAACTTGCTTGGAAAACTGTCAAAATATAAAACCTGTGTAATATCAAATTTGAACATGAAAATGAAAATTTCAGCCAGAAGTAGTTATTTCTCATCTACGAAAGAGACAACAAAGGATTGCATTACTCTGTCTTCTAATTACCAAGCGAGGTGGATTGGGATTTCATGGAGGGGAATATTTTATGCAGAAGAGTGGTTTGAATTCAACTTATAGGGCACACATACTGTTTAAGATTCTGTATAGAACCTAAAAACATAGAATTAAACGAGTCATATATACATGCATACAAATGTATATGCAATCAGAAATGAACGCTGTATCTATGTTGAAAGTTAGATAGTATATTCTAAAGTTGGGCTAAATCACACATTTAATTATTTCACAAAATCATTTCAGTAAGTAAAATCCACTAGTAATCGAAACAACTGATTTTAGTCCTCTATATTAACCTCTCTATAATGATTACCGTGAATATTTCAAAGTCTTAAATTGTTAAAAAAAATATTAGAAAGTACAATGGAATCCATAGGCAAAGGAACATTAGATGTGATGAGAAGTAAGACATTTTACTTCCTGGAGGAGGAAAACAAAGGCACTGCCTCCAATACCTCACTGTGTAGAGTACCGACAGGGGGGGACCCTTCTAACCTCTAATACCCTAGGTTTTAGTTAGACAGTGCTATCCATTATCACTCTAAGCCCAGATGGAGGGACCAATAAGATGTCTATAAGTTTCTGTGCTAAGCAAGGTAGAAGAAAGTTGTGTAAAGTATTTGAGTTAAATATTTCTTCAAGCTGGGAAAATGGACGATATAATACGATGGACAGAGCATAGGCTTTTGAATTCCAGGGTGCTTTATTTTGAATACTGGTTTTATTGCAGTAACAGTACTCATTCACTCAAACATAACCTTTTTTAAAGCGTTAACCTTTTGCCATGCGAAGTGCTAGGCTTTGACAGTAGCTTAAGTTACAAAACATACATTGTTGGGACTTCCCTAGTGGTCCAGTGGTTAAAATTCCACAATGCCAGTGTAGGGAGTATGGGTTTGATCCCTGGTTGGGGAGCCAAGATCCCACATACTTTGAGGATAAAAATAAATATAAGATAAAAATAAGTAAATAAATTTAAAAAATTTAAAAAACATTATATTTGCTCTTTTATAGTTTAATGATGAAGATAGACATTAATCAAGTAATTTTACAAATAACATAATTACATAGGGTGGTAAATTAGTCTAAGGAACATTCAGGAAGTTATGCAAGTATATTTTATAATGTAGTCAGTCTGAAAGATGGGTATAAAACAACAAAGAGAGAATGAAGTCCTAAGGTAAGTGAGAACATGGTGCCATTTGTAGAAGGGCAGTTGGCTGGATTATAGAAAGTACTGAAAGTGTAAGTGTGGAAAAAGTAGTTTGGAGGGGTAGGTGGAACCAGGCCACCCAGAGCTTCATTGCTGTTTTCGTTCAGCCACTAAGTCCTGTCCAACTCTTTGTGACCTCGTGGACGGCAGTGCTGCGGGTGCCTCTGTCCTCCAGCCTCTCCTGAACTTGCTCAAATTCTTGTCCATTGGGTCAATGATGCTATCTAACCATCTCATCCTGTGCTGCCCCGTTCTCCTTTTGTCTTCAATCTTTCTAGCGTCAGGGTCTTTTCCAACCCATGTCTCTTGTGTCTTCTATATTGACTGGTAGATTCTTTACCACTGCACCACCTGGAAAGCCCACCCAGAGCTTTATTTTAAGACAAAGGAAAGCCTTTGGACATTTTTAAGCAAGAAAGTTGCAAGATCAAATTTATGTTTCTAAAGATCACTCTGACCATGTTAAGGGGAAAAAAATAATTAAAAGATGTTTGGGTAGTGTGAGAAATTCAGTGAGGGGGTATTTGACACATTCCAGATAAGAGATATAGTCTCTTGGACTAGGGCGTGGTGATAGTAGAGATACCATAGAGATAATGACTCCTATGTTTCTCCCTTTTGCAACTGATTGGAAGGTGGTGCTAAGTTGTTGTTCAGTCACTAAGTCATGTCCTATTCTTTGCAACCCCTGATCTGCAGCATGCCAGTTTCCATTGTTCTTCACTATCTCCTGGAGTTTGCTCAAATACATGTCCATTGAGTCCATGATGCCATTCAGTCATGTCATTCTCTGCTGCCCCTTTCTCCTTTTGCCTTCAGTCTTTCCCAGTCCTTTTAATTAATATTCAGGGTTGATTTCCTTTAGGATTGACTGGCTTAATCTCCTTGAAGTCAAGGGACTCTCAAGAGTCTTCTCCAGCACCACAGTTCAAAAGCATCAATTCTTCAGTGCTCAGCCTTCTTTATGGTCCAGCTCTCACATCTGTACATGACTACAGGAAAAACCATAGCTTTGTCTATATGGACCTTTTAGGGAATATATAAACAGGACCTGAATTAACTGCATTTGAATTTTGCTAAGTTTAGTTGGAAATGCATTTTAAATATCCAAATGAAAATGTCAAATAAGCTCTTAGATACAAGAGTCTAGAGGTCATATAGTCCTTGATAGAAATATTAATTTGATATTCTTTGGATTCTCATTGGTTATTCAAGTCAGAGGCATGGATGAGATAGCTAAGAGAAAGAGTGTATAAAGTCAGAGGAGAAGGAGGCATTGGGTAAATCTCTGGAAAACTCTAACATTTAAAGTCCAGTTATAACCAGCAAAAGAGACTCAGTCAACAGAAAAAAAAGAAAGGAAAACCTGGAGAAACTAAGACAGCAAGGAAAGAAAGACATCAAGAAAGTGCTGAATGCTCCTGAGGAGTCAAGTTCATGGAGGATTGAAAATTTTTAGGGAAGCAGCTTGTAAGAATCATGTAATTGGAATTATGAGTACACGAACCAAGCTGCAGTGGATCCATATGAATAAATGGATTCAATGTAGAAAATTCATTGCTAGGCAAGGGAAAAAAAGTGAAATGAGAACTTCAGGGGAAGGTGGAGTCAAAAAAGTAACTTTTAAAATATGTCTCAGTACTGATAGAAATGATCCACTAAAGAAAAGAAAATTTAACAGAAAAAAGAGAAGATAATGAAGAGAAGGCTATGAGAGCATTGGCTATGTTATGGAATGTCTCTGCCTTGGTTTCTGCAGCTATAAATGGGGATTATATATATAATACCTACCTTATAAGATTTTTCTAACAAATAATATTATGCTGGTTGAATGCTCAGTAAAAGGTTTTGGCACATAGAATACATTTACTAAATTGATGCTTAAAAGAACTCAGCACCACAGCTCTCTTATCCATTCATCTTCCCATGGACATATAGGTTGCTTCCATGTCCTAGCTGTTGTAAACAGTGCTGCAATGAACACTGGGGTGCACGTGTCTTTCAATTCTGGTTTCCTCGGTATGTGTGCCCAGCAGTGGGATTGCTGGGTCGTATGAAAGTTCTATTTCCAGTTTTTTAAGGAATCTCCACTGTGGTACATATACACAAGGGAATATTACTCAGCGATTAAAAAGAATGCATTTGAATCAGTTCTAATGAGGTGGATGAGGAGGAGCCTATTATACAGAGTGAAGTAAGTCAGAAGGCAAAACACCAATACAATAACACATATATATGAAATTTAGAAAGATGGTAACATTGATCCTATATGCAAGACAGCAAAAGAGACAGATATAAAGAACAGACTTTTGGACTCTGTGGGAGAAGATGAGGGTGGGATAATTTGAGAGAATAGCATTGAAACATATGTATTATCATATGTGAAATAGATCGCCAGTCCAGGTTCGATGCATGAGGCAGGGCGCTCAGGGCCGGTGCACTGGGACAACCCTGAAGGATGGGATGGAGAGGGAAGAGGGTGGGGGGTTCAGGATGGGGGACACATGTGCATCCATGGCTGATTCATGTGAATGTATGGCAAAAACCACTACAATATTGTAAAGTAATTAGCTTCCAATTAAAATAAATAATTTACAAAAAAAAAGTACTCAGCACCTCACACAGTGTTTTATATCTATGAGGTGCTCAACAAATATTTGTTAAATGTTGAATGTATATGATGCTGTTATGTGATTTTTGATTAGCTGGGAATATAAATGAGTCAGATGCATATTACTAAATACTGGGTTACAAACACATCTTCGATGTTCACTAGTGATGATGATATTTGCTATCTGATGATGTTGATATTTAGGGCATTTGTGTTCACAGGGTACAATTTTCCTGCCTGGAAATAAAGTGCTTGAACATCCCTGCAATGAAGAGAGCCCAGGGAAGTTTCTTTTTGAAGTAGTTCCAGGTAAGATATTTTTCTTCTTTGATTCAAGAATTGCTGTTACATGTTGGTAAAGACAGGTCAGACAGCCTTTATTCTTCTTGAGTCATGGCTAAGAACATTCATTTGAAGAAGCAAGTGGCAAATTTGGTTGGTATTCATACAGAGACTAATGATTCCAGGTTTGTACACTGGTACAAATGAACACACCAACACACGTGCATTTACCCACATGACTACTGGATTTCCATTTGTCCATGAGACTCCAGAGTGGACCAGAGTCATGACACAGCCTTCATATGGGGACTACTAGGGACAAAGGTGATTCTGCAGTCCTCTTTCAATGTTAGATTTGACCAGGTGTTCCAGGTAGAATGCCTTGTCCAGCTGATTCACTGCCATGTCTCCTCACAAAATTGCATCTTTAAGGAGCCTCGGCTATAAAAACAAAACAGAACAAAAGCCCTCCTTCAATGACTGACAAAGGATCAGTCACATCCATTTTGCTCACAACCAACCACTTTCACATGTTTGGCTTAGAGTATTTGAGGACATCTCTGCCAAGTGATCAGATCCTGGATTTCCATGTCTTCAGTCTTCAACATCTGTTCACTTTTTTTTTTTTCTTTTAGTCATTTGCATGCACCCCTCTCAGAATACCTCATCTGCACTTAAGTCTTTGAGTCACCCAGCAACACCTTGGTTCATGACCTTTCTGCAAGGTCATGATCTACTTCCTTGGTCAGCTCCTTAGCCCTTCTTTAACTCTTGCTGTAAGAAAAAGGGAGTTAGGAATGTGGTTTTTATATCTTTGCTTCTGACTGACCCCGTTGATGTGATATTAACATGGATTTCATCACAGCCTAGGGTGAGTGTGAATTTATTTGTGTGACCAATATGTAATGCATATCAATAATGCTGGTGCAGAGGCAGTCAGTAAAACATTTCCCCCAGATTTATAAATGCTGAGAGTCTAAAATGCAAAAACATATTTTCCTCCCTCCGTGAAAACAGCTGTAGCTCTGAGTTCATCTGGCTCACAGTGGAATCCATGACTAAATGTTAATTAATGCAACTCAAGTGCAGAAAGGTTAGTCAGATGCATTGTGTTATTTGTTTCCCCCCAGGGAAAACATATTGTAAGAAACCTGAATCTTGTTTGCTCTATTAAAATCTTGTTATACTTACTTCTTAGTGGAATACCCTATATGGAACCAAATTCCAGATGTTGCAAAGTCTTTGAAGTATCAGTAGAGGAAATTTCTTTCACTATTTAGTCTCAAACATTAGGTCTCTTAGCTTTGAAATGAGCATGGTATTAAACTGGCAGCTTTGATTCTTCATCTCCAATAACACTAAAGGTCTACTTTCTCATGCGGTCTCCCATTTGTGTAGAGATTGCACTTTTTGGTGAAGATGTTCTTGTATACACTGTTCTAGAAAGAGCTGTGTCTTCAAACCCACAAAGTCACAAAACCTCCTTTCCAAGGTTGCAATTCTAGGGTATGTGTTTCATGTGCAACACGTAAGACAGAATGGCTTTTAATGAGCAAAGCTTAAGGAGTTTAAAACTGTGTGGTGTGGAATCTGAAAGCTGTCATTTCAAATTTTTTTTTTTCCTCAAGGAAGTTCAGGGTGGCTGCAGTAGTTATGGAAATACACATACTATGCCCATAGCTCATTTGAAAAGATGCTTCCTGAATAATTAATGCAATATGTAGTAGCTTCTAAGTTAGGTTTAATAATTCTGAATCATCTTTGGCAGTAACAAGAGACTTGTGCCAAATGCTTCTTTAAAGAAAGAGTTGAAAAAATACTATGGCTGCATTGGGAATCCAGTATTTGTGGCATTAATCTTGGTCATCAGAACTTTTGGGTATGTCCCTACATTAGGATAGAATTTCCAGGCAAATGCGTCTGTACATGTATTGGAATGGAGGGATCAGTATCACATGATTTTAGCCAGTTTTTGCAAAAATCAAGATTGCTAAAGATAGCAGGCCATTTGATTTATCTTTGTAAGTTAGAATGACAAGATACTATTTTTTATTTATTCCAATTGTGTGACAGTTTGATGTGGGAAATCTGGAAAGTTGCAAGAGTGTTTTCATTTGTCAGAAAATGCAGGAGACAGGAAGGAGTGGAGAAATGTGATCAATGTCTTATATAGAATCTTCTGCAAGACTGCCTGTCTGCAGATCCTCATAACATATACTTATTCTACACTGGCTTTTACAGATCCAGCACAATTCTGTCTTTATGGACAAATATCTTAAGCCCAACTACCCAAGGTACAGTCAATGAATAGGATTAAATGCTTTAATCATACCTGCTTGTAATGATTTTCAGTAAAAATGGCAAATACCTCCAGAAGGCTCTGCCAAATATTCTAGCACTATGTACGTACACACACATTTGTGTATGAGTGTGTGTGTAAAATTGTGTGTACACACACACATATATATACATATAAAACAAAACATGCATATTTATATTATTTATATACCATCAGCACCTATAAAGTTATACCTTTATAATTTATTGATATATATTATGTAGGTCAGAGTTTTTGTTTCGTTTCAGTTCTGTTTTTGCATTACTCTGAAGTGTCCTGTGGAATTAAATAATAATCATGTGTAACTTTGAGAGAAAACCAAGATTTTTCAACAGAATTAAGAGTTTCAGGTCTTTGTATAGTATTTAACTGCACTTGTTTTGTATTGCATTTCTATGCAGATTTTAGACTTCTGTAAAAAACTATGTGAAAAAAAAAACTACCATAATTTAGGGTTAATTTCTTATAGACTACTATCCCATGAAATGAATTGTCTCTCTGAATTATGTCATGATTTATAACATTTCGCTCCAATTGTTTCCTATTTATCTGCTTGCTACTCAAAAAGGAGAAGTTAGCCAAATTGGCAAATTTGAAGACTTTGCTGTCAGACATGCCAAATTGTAGGCTGGAGTGAACTTTTATAGCCAAGTGCTAAGCTTTGGGGAAATGTGGTTGAGAAAGGAATGTTGGCAGACTTTCGTGTATAGTACTTGAAGAAAGAAAATGCAGTTGGTTTTGTTGCTTCTCCAAATGTGTTCTGTGCATGTTTCCCTTGTGTTGTTAAAATAAAATAAATAGAGTAATTAATGGAATGATGATGTCTTTGCTTAGAAGAATATTTTGCCAGAGGGAGAAAAAGAAGAAGTAATTCAGAGACAGGGAAAAAGAGGCAAGGAAGTAGGCACTTTATCTAGTTAAAGAACCACAGCTTTCTTCTCATTACTGTATCCCTAACACCTGGAAGTGTAACACAGTGTGCTGAGGACTTACTGAAGTGTATATATTTACCAGGTTTATGGAGGAAACAAAGTGTATGTATTTACCAGATTTATGGAGGAAACTCAAGCATATGAAATGGGTTTATTGTTGGCAGTAACTACTTGCCTTGGCTGTGTTGAAGGCTTACGTCCTGCTATGTGGGATCGTTGCCCATCCTGGCGCAGCAAAGACCTCTTTGTGGCTCTAGTGGCTGAAGTGGGGGGAAGCTCCTCAGATCCTGTTTCTTACTCCTCTGCCTTCCTCTCTCATCATGATACCAGGAGAAAGATGGAAGAAGATAGAGATCTTCCTCCAGAGAATCTACCCCCTGTGGTATAGCCTCTTAACACTGACTGGCTATTACTTGCATGCTAAGTTGCTTCAGTCATTTCCGACTCTGCAACCCTATGGGCTGTAGCCCACCAGGCTCCTCTGTCCATGAGACTCTCCAGGCAAGAATACTGGAGTGGGTTGCCATTTCCTTCTCCTGGGGATCTTCCTCACTCAGGGATGGAAACTGCGTCTCTTAGGTCTCCTGCATTGGCAGGGGGGTTCTTTACCACTAGCGTCACCTGCGAAACCCTAATAGCTGTTGCATCCTGCTTCAAATGCTGCCTCTCTCATCTGATGCATGTGTAGATTATGTAATGTCCCTAGAACTGGAAAGGCATGTCATGTGGTAGGAGCCTCCACCTTGAGCATGGTCCTGGTGGGATAGCAACAAAATGGCTTAAGGGCCAGCTGCTTTCTTTGAGCTTATTCAGTGGCCCAGAAACTCATGTATCCTGATCTGCCAAGTAAGGGTAAAGAAAACTGTTTCCCTCAGTACCACCCTATTCCCCATGAATCACGAGCTTCATACCCAGCAGTTCAGTGGTTTCATACCTCAGGAGAGCCTTGAACTTGGAGAAGGGCTTGGTGACAGTTCTAGCTTCAAAATTGATGACCTACTCACTTGTGCTTCCCTGACTTGTTCTGATGGTTTGAGAGAAATTCTTTCCTTTCTCCTCAAAAAAATCATGTATGTCTTGAAAACTGTTGTAACCAAGTGGCGCGTCCTCTTTTCTAGTCTTTCTCTGGTAACAGTCTGGGGCAGGGAGATGATGTTTGGGTTTCTTCTCTGAAATGCATTTTCTCCTATAGGGAAGCCCTACAGGGAAGTGACCAGGCATAACTTCCACTGATTTTTGTTTTAACTTAAGTAAGGTTTTAGCACTTTTTTCTTCAGATTTAGATCTTAGCAATTTCAGGATAATGAAAAGATAACTTTTTGTTTATGTATATCTACCATCTTACATTGAATTCCAAGCAAACACATGGATGAAGAGTTATGTTAGGACGTTTACTGGGGGTTCTCTCTGGATATACTCCATCTCCAAGGAAGTGAGGAAGGCAGGATCAGGCAGAAGAAGAAGCTGGCCTGCTGCGCCATGGCACCTGAGGTCTCAGCTGATGCTGTAGGGCTCTCTGGAGCTTGGACACTTCTTAGAGTCACTCTAACCTTAACCTGAGTTTCCAAGCCTTTGTTTCCTGGCATCAGCTAATGAAGTCATTCACTGGGGGGAGGTGAGACAAATAAACCCAGTTTATTAAAAAAAACAGACAAATAAAACCAGTTCTGCATTTCAATAGAGAAAAGTTTCCATGAGGACCTCTGTGAGCCACAGCAGCCAATATAACAACCTCTAGAATCTAGACTGAGCATCAC